CCCCCCCCCCCCCCCCCCCCCCCCGCCGCAAGCCTCCGCTTTCGAGCAGCGCAGCGCTGCCTCCTCTTCCCAGGCAAGCGGGCTCCTTTCCACCCCCGGCGGCTTTTCCCTCGCTCGCCCTTCGCTTGCCACCCGGGGCTGGGAGCCCTGCAAACACCCCCCCTTCCTCCCAGGACGTAGAGTCGATGCGGCCTCGTCTCGGGGTACGTGCTCCCCCCCCCGCGCCCCGTTTCGGGCCGCAGCGCTGCCCCGTCCCTCCTGCGCGGGCCGGGCGGGCGGTGGACGGCCCCTCCCGGGGAGCCGCGGGGTGGTTACCTTCGGGGAAGACGGCTCGCATTTTCAGGTAGCTGGTGGTGAGGCGGATGATGGACGCCTTGTCCAGCTGGGAGGTGATGGCCGAGGGCAGGGGCAGGAGTTTGGCCAGTTCGTAGAATTCTCCATTTTCTTTTTCCCGTCTAGTCTTTGCCGCGTTCTTGGATTTTTCCTTCATCGCGACTACTGCAAGGCGAAGATGACACTGGCATATTAGACCCGATTCTTCCGAATTGCAGGGGGCATGGATTTCGGCTTCAGAGTTAGTATTTTCGTTTAAGGAAGGGAGGGAGGGAATTCACCCAAATCAAATCAAATAGGTAACAAAAAAAAAAATTAAAAAGGGGAGAAAAAAAGGGGAAAGGGGGAGGGAAAAAAAGCCAAACCAACCAAACAAAAACACCACCAAGAGAAATGGTGCGAGGAGGGGGGAGGCGATCTCTGAGCCACAGCCACGACAGGCAAGCCGCTCGGGAGAAGGCAGTTCTGTTTTGACCCTTCGATATCTAGCGCTTCGAAACTGAGACTGAAAGACCTACACGAACCACGGTCCTCTGCCTGCAGCTGGAATCGGGTCTTCTCCTCAACGGGGAGCAAAGCACTGGGTTCCCTTCACTGAAGGATTTCTTCTACTCACTCCTTCCCCGTCCAAAAATAATAATAAAAAAATATTAAAAATAGAGCGTCCACGCAAGAAATCATTGGGCTAAGCAGGCTGAACCATTTTTGGACACTTTGTCTCTTAAAAAAAAAAAAAAACAGAAAAAAAAGAATGAAAGAAAGAAAAGGAAAGACCGCGCTGCTGGTTTAACGAAGTGCAAAACGATCTGGTCCCGGAGCCCGAGATGCCGAGGAGACGAGGAGCCGGCAAGGCAGCCCCCCGCTAAACGAGAGTCGCAGCCCGTGCGGAGGGAGCTGACGGCCGGAGCGCTCCGAAATCACAAGCTCGCATTTCCTTCAGACGCTTCCCCCTCGGCCGGCTC